CCTCCCCCTCCTCCTCCCCCTCCCGTGGTGTGACCAGCCCCTGCCTGCGAGGTCTGTGCTGGGCCCGGCCATTCAGTGAGACCAGGTCAGGTCGTTGTCCTCCAGGCCACCATAGGCTGAGGGGCCCTCCCAAGGAGCTTGGGGCACCAGGCAGGGTCCCCTCAACCTGCTGGGGCCCTAGGGTAGGGACTGGGCTCTCCAGTGCCACCCCCTCAGGGTTCAGAGGCCCCACCTGGCCAGGGGCCTCTGACAAATATCGATCCTTGGGGACTTCCTCCTTTTGCCACGATCCCTCTTGTTGTCTGACCCAGTTCTCCTGCTGTGCCCACCCTGCCCCCTGGCCGGAGGCCACCTCAGCCTCTCAGCCAGTGCCCATTGCACGGGGGTCTAGCCAGTTGGCCGTGGGTCAACCCTGTGGTGTGAGTTCCCTGAGGACAGGACACTGTCTGTCTCGCTCGGATTCATAATATTTCCCGTGCCTGGCACACAGGAGGTGCCCAAGGGAGGAGGGAGGCTGAGCGCTGGGCACCATGACCACCCCAGGGCTTCCCCCAGGTCCTTGTGGGGAAGTCAGCTGGGGGTGGACAGTGGACACATGAGAGGGCCAGGACTGGTGGAGTTGGGGGTACATGCAGGAGCTCTGGGGGCCTAACCCAGCTTTGGGGATAGGTGGTCTAGAGAAGCTTCGGAGAGAGTCGCCTGGTATTGGGCTTTGAAGGGTGGGAGGAAGGGCCTTCTTTGAGCAGGAACAGCAAGAGTGAAGGCAGCGAGCAGGAGAGGGGGCATGCGCGAGGCCTGCATGTTCTGAGGGGCAGGAGCCTGAGAGGAGGCGGGCTGTTGCAAGCTCTCTTACCCCCATCCGCAGGGATGCAGTCACAGGCTTCCTTCCTCCCAGGCCCCCTGCCCGTGCCCAGGGCACCTGGCTGTTTATGGAAGCCCGACCCCCCGGGAAGCCTCCTCCAATCTGTGCTGCCCTGAGAGGCTGGCCCCGGACAGGACACCCCCTGCTCTACTCAGGCTTGAGGGCTGAAGGCAGGTGGCAGTAAGTGTAGGCCCAGCCTCGCCTGCCTGCTGCCTGCCCAGCAGACCTCACACGCTCCCACCCAGTTGTCCTGGAAGCCGGCTGTTCTCTTCCTGAGCCTCCCCTCCGTCTGCCCTAGGCGGGGGACCACAGGGCCTGAGGAGGAAGCTGAGGATGAAGCTGAGCCCTCCACCGTACTGGCCGCTGTCCTGCTTCCTTGTGGTGAGTTGGGGATGGGACTGTGGTGGGGACACCAGGATCGCCGAGCCCTGAGCCCTGAACCCGGCCCTCCGAGGAGATGGAGCCTAAAGGCTGCTCAGGACCCGTGCTGGGGTGCGCTTGGTTCTCGGCTCTTCCCGGGGGGTCGTCTGACCCTCGCCAGGGCCTCTTGGCCTACACTGACCCTGCTGCCGGGAGCCAGGTCTGGGCCTGAGGCGGTCCCCAGAGCCTCCTACGTAACATTCCCTCTGCCTGTCAGGACGGATGGCTCTGCTCTGCACCTACCACCCCCAAAGCAAAACCAGAGGACCAGGGGGTCTCCCCACAGCACAGGGTTCAGGGCAGATAGTTCACACCTGGAGAGGGAAGCAGAGGGAGCTCCCAATGGAATGGCTGGGACACGAGTAGAGACCCTTCTCTTGGGACGTTCCCGCCCTCTGTGGTGCAGGGGTGGCCTGGGTGACGGGGAGGTCACGGAGGAGGATGTGCTGCTGGAGACTCAGCCAAGGGCCCAGAATAGGAAGTGCCAGCTGCAGCGTTGGCCCCAGGGATGGTGCACAGAGGCCGGCTGATGACAGGCCCAGCTGTGCTGGGGGGCAAGGCAGCAGGAAGCAGGGCGGAACTTGAGAGGAATTCGGAAGCGTCCCCCCTCGTCCTGGAGGACGGAAGAGGTGTGACTCAGAGGCTGGAGGTCCTGAGCAGCCTGGCGGGGGCTTTCCAGCATTTCCAGCACAGATGTGCTCTCTCCCTCCCTGGGCAGTGGCCGTGCGGCAGGTCCGGGACGAGCAGGCTCTACCTGCCGCGTGAGGGTGAGGTTACAGAGGATCCCTGAGGCCTGGGGTCTTCAGTCCCCACTCCTGGGCATCAGGAAGCGGGTGGTGGAGAGACAGCCCAGAGGTGCCATGGCCCAGGGCTTTCTGCTCAGTGTGCCCTGCCCATGGTTCTTCCAGCTGCTGCCCTGGCCTCTGGCTATGCCAACATCAACGACCCCTTGGCAGTGCCCACCCGGGGAGGAGCCCAACCTGGTGAGCTCGCCCTGCCCACCCGCCCTGTCCTAGGAAGACTCCTGAGGGCCCGGGACGGGCTTCCTGGCTTCGTTCTCACCCTTTCCCTCCCACAGGACCCGGGGCAGGGCACATTATGCAGGTCCTGCCCCCTGGGCACCTTCTCAGCCTCGTGGGGCTCTAGCCCATGCCAGTCCCACTCCCGCTGCAGCCTTCGAGGGAGGCTGGAGGCCCAGGCGGGCACAGTGACTCAAGACACACTATGTGGAGACTGCCGGCCTGGGTGAGCCATGGGGGAGGGGGGGCGTGGGAGTTCATGCCAAGTGACCAGGACTCTGGATCCTGGCCCCAGCCTCACCCAGCCCCTGAGCGGGCCTCAGTCCTCCCATCTGTGAAATGGGAGGGTAAGAACCAGTGTGGGTGTCTAGTAGGAAGGAGTCCAGTCTCTTTGAGGAAAGTTCTGGGTCTCAGTGATGTCTCCCCCCCTGTAGGTGGTTTGCCCCTTCAGAGGTCCCCCGTGCTCCCTGTCAGCCGTGCTCCTGGACACCTCTGGGTCCTCACGGTTGTGATGGTGAGTGGCAGATGGGGCCCAGGGTATGTGTGGGAGGGGTCTGGTGAGCTTGAGCCCAGGGACCCCACAGTGTCCATCTAGGGCAGCAGGGTCCTCACTCCCTCAGCGTACGGGACGGTGAACAGCCAGGGGCTGTCCAGCAGGACGTGGCCAAATTGTTCCACTGGCTGTCAGTTGGCCCAAGTCATTCTGAGTGGCAGAGGCCACCCAGCAGGAGGGCTCCCATCCTGACCTGTCTAACCCCCATTCTCATCCCCTTAGACACACACGCAGATGAGTGTGAGCGCACATGCTTGTGCACATACACACACGCACCTCCTCTTACCCGTCAGGGCAGCTAACTCATGGACCAGGTCATGGGAGGCAGGACCCAGTGTCCCTGTGCCCAGGCACGCACACAGGTGCCAGCTGCTCATCCCCCTGACCCAGCAGGAGGGGTGACGGGGATGAGGTTCTGACCTCCCTGCGGCCTGAAGAGGCCTGGCTCACCTGACTAATCAGATGGCCAAATAGGAGGGGCTGGGGGTGAGTTGGACCTTGTTTCCCCAACATGGCAAGGCGTGGGCAGCTCTGAACACATCAGCGCCCACACACGTCCACGCACATCTTCGCACACACACATGCACACCCTGACCCGGGCCCTGGTCCCACTGTGTGATTCTCTCTGCCTCTGTCTTGCCTCCATGCCTCTGTCCTCCGTGGTGCTCAGAGCGGAGGAGGCGGACCCGGCGTGGTGTGGCGGCGGCGGCGGGGGCCAGAGGCACCGGGGAGACTCGGCCGCCCGGGAACAGCACGCGGGCAGGCGGGCCCGAGGAGACAGCGGCCCCGTACGCAGTTATCGCCATCGTGCCCATCTTCTGCCTCATGGGGCTGCTGGGCATCCTGGTGTGTAACCTTCAAGCGGAA